ATCTAAAGAACTCAACCTCGATACCAAAGCCAAGATGGTGGATTCCTCAATAATCCCCATTCTCACGTATGGTCTAGAATCAATAGTACTAAGAAAGCAAGATTGGTCTAGACTAGAAGCGGTGTTAAATACAGTGAGACGTATAATTCTAAATATAAATGATAGAAAGCAATACACTGTTGAGCAACTTAAACTTAAAATAAACTTACCAAACTTAGCCAGTAAAATCATGCAAAACAGACTAAACTTGTGGTACGTAGCGCATAAAAGGCCAAATAACCTAATGGTGAGGTCTTTATATAGTAACTTTGAAAACCAGTGCAACAATAGGAAGGCCCATACTAAAAACTGGCTAAGACAACTATTTCAAGACATTAAAGAAATGGGTGAGCGCCTTCCTAGTAACTGGATAAACCAACCCAACAAGGTTAAAATAAATGCATATCAGGAGCACTCTCCAAAAATAATAGGGAAACGACAGCTGAATCATATATGCCAAAATGCAAACTGTAACAGAAAGTTTGCTACAATTAAAGAAATGAACAGACACATTAGAAACGATCACCAAAATAAAACTAATAATGAGTCCCAATATAACTGTCCCTTAACTGACTGTAATAAAACGTATAAGACGTTGGGTTGGTTAAATAGACACATGCAGTCATGCCACCCACAATATAACCTAACTAAAACTGAAACCAAAACCAAAACTAATAAAATAAACTCCAAAAACGAACAAAATAAATGCCCATACCCAGGTTGCAACAAAACTTTACCAACTAAAAAAGGTATAATAAATCACTGCTATGTAGTACATAGGTGGTCAGCAATCACCGGACAAGAAGTAAAGCCAAAGGCAAAAAATAATGCAAAAACAGCTATTGCGCCCCGGTAGTTGTGCCGAGCTTCGATGTAGCCTCTTCTCCAGAAGGGCCTACTAGGCTTCACCAACTAGTTTGGCTGGAAGGGGCACCACAGGGATGGGAGGCAAAATCCGACTCACACGTCCGCGTCGTGCCTCCTGGATAGTGGGACGAATGTCTCATGAACCAACGTGAGCGGTAACCTGGGTGGTGGAGATCGGGCTAATCACCCACTCTACCTATACCCACCAACCGATTACGAACTCCACAGATAAACACAGCACAACTACACTTGGAATGAAAAAAGACAAAAAATCTTCTCGAAAGTGGTGCATGTATCAAACGGAGTTGCTCATCATTGGGCAAACTCTAAAAGTTTGCAGAAACAACCATAACAGTCCTGGTAGTCGCGTCGTAACTCAATGTAACCCACAGAGAGAAACGGCACGATTACGTTTAAATTGGAAAGTGATAAAATTCTTGAAAGTGGTGCATGTACCATTTGGAGTTGCTCATCACTGGACTAACTCCAAAGGATTGCAGAAACAACTATTCTAGCCCCGGTAGTTGTGCCGTGCTTCGATGTACCCTCTTCTCCAGAAGGGCCTACTAGGCTTCACCAACTAGTTTGGCTGGAAGGGGCACCACAGGGATGGGAGGCAAAATCCGACTCACACGTCCGCGTCGTGCCTCCTGGATAATGGGACGTAAGTCTCATGAACCAACGTGAGCGGTAACCCGGGTGGTGGAGTTCGGGCTAATCACCCACTCTACCTATACCCACCAACCGATTACGAACTCCACAGATAAACGCAGCACAACTACATTTGGAATGAAAAAAGACAAAAAATCTTCTCGAAAGTGGTGCATGTATCAAACGGAGTTGCTCATCATTGGGCAAACTCTAAAAGTTTGCAGAAACAACCATAACAGTCCTGGTAGTCGCGTCGTAACTCAATGTAACCCACAGAGAGAAACGGCACGATTACGTTTAAATTGGAAAGTGATAAAATTCTTGAAAGTGGTGCATGTACCATTTGGAGTTGCTCATCACTGGGCTAACTCCAAAGGATTGCAGAAACAACTATTCTAGCCCCGGTAGTTGTGCCGTGCTTTGATGTGGCTTGTTCCACTCCAGAAGGGCCAATGGCTTCACCAACTTGTTTGGTTGGAAGGGACACCACAGGGATAACTGGCTTGTGGCGGCCAAGCGTTCATAGCGACGTCGCTTTTTGATCCTTCGATGTCGGCTCTTCCTATCATTGTGAAGCAGAATTCACTGTTTAGTACGAGAGGAACCGCAGGTTCAGATAATTGGTATATGTGCCTGGTCGAAAGGCCAATGGTGCGAAGCTACCATCTGAGGGATTAAGACTGAACGCCTCTAAGTCTGAATCCCGTCCAAATTTGCAACGGTACATTCTGTATCCGACACGTGGCTGGGCAAGCTTACGTATTCCTTTTGGTGTCTGGACTGGACCATGTGTTCGGCTAGGCCCATTAGGTCTGGTGTTATGCCAGAGCGATGACCATAAACCGTGCTCCGGATTTTGGGGTACGGGGGTCGACACGATATCTAATTGTGGTATGAGCGTGAGGATACTAAATCGTTTGTAGACGACTTAATGTTTTGTCGGGGAGACGTACGTGCTCGAGCAGCTTTCACACTGCGAGGCATTGAATCCTATCCCTGCTTGACGTAATGATTTGAGGACATGTTCCTCTATCATGTGTATACTATGGGATGCATGAGTCTCGGCTTGTGCATTACATATATCCATATATCGTATGCTTGCGATGTTCTGCATATGTGCATATTTTATGTAAAATTGCATGATCTATTGAATAAAAAAATATCAAGTGATTTTATCCATCAGGAAAAAACAAAATTTAATTTTTAATTTTTCAATAGGAAGTCCGAGAGAATTTCAGTTTTTTATCAAAATATTTTTTTGCAGCAAATGTATAGCAATGTGTTATAATAATTCAGATAGATATTTGCAAGAGGCATCACTACAAACACTATTGTGAATATTATAACTATGGTATTGAC